TTTAGCTGTCAGCTGCAATGTGAGGCTTGCGATACAAGCATATGTATTTAATAACTTAATAAATGCATTATAATATGGTAAAATTACGCTTACGAGTTGTTGGAATGTTAGCATTAAAAAAATATAGCAGCAACAGGCCATCAGAATGCACTATTGCGGTCGGCAGATGTATCATATTCTACGAATAGGTAAGGCTTAAGGACACAAACCTCATGTGCTAAAATAATTAGGACACAAAAATAAGTAGCGATATGCCCATGTTAGCCATGATGAGCAATTATTGAAGTTTTTAAATTAAATACAACAAATAGTCAACAATAGTTGACAAGCAGAACAGAAGGAGATAAGACAGTAACTAAGTCTAAAATTGTTTCGGTCTGAGTATTTTTAGTTTACCTCCTTCTGTAGTATATGAATCTCTATAAATAAAACCACATAAATAAATACCATTAAGGCTAAGAACCTACAATTCTTAATATAGTCACCTGATGTATGTGCATTCTAAGACGGTGTTTTTTAAAATCTCCACACAAGACGTGTTTTTAAAGCAAATCAAGCAAAACGTTAATCACCGCAAAAAAAATCTTTAAAACGCATTTTCCACCGAGGAAGCTTGGAGTCTGCGAAAAGTGTGAAACACCTATCAAATTATTTTTCATATAGATCCTTGGAAATTAATTTGAGCGCGAAACTCAAACGTCACCCACCAAATCTTTGAGCCCCCTTTCCATCATGGAAGAATGCAATTTTTGTGAAGTGTGGAACTCCCCTCAAATAAATTTGAACAAAGATCTTAAAAAATGAGTTTGTAGCTGATCGGATGGTAAACAAAAAAGTTGCATACAAACGCTTTTCGCGATTTGTTCACCCATGCGTCTGGAATTTCCCAGAACTGCGTCTTAGCGTGCATTTTCATCACATAAGATAAGTACAGTGACAATTTCAGCTTACGGTGTGGGCTGTGCGTTGGTCGCCAATCAGTCAGTCTGTCAGGACAACCAGTTTAATATATAGAGATAAATTGTCAGATATTAAAGATATATACAGTGTATGATGGTTAAGAGTGCTTACAAAAAACCAACGAAAACTGAGACACAGATGCACGGGAATTGCTCACTTAAAAGCAGGGTAAAGAGCTTAAAAGAGGAAATGTCCTCAGCGACGTGAAGACGAACACGACGACTAAGACTAATAAATATGTGTTGTCTAGCGTCTAGCACTTCTAACGGTTGACAACATAAAACAGTTTTACATAATTGCCCACTCAAAAGTCGGTTGAGACAATGAACTTGTGTATATAGAGGAGCACGTACAGTCCCAGTTTTGGTGTATGTTGCACAAAGTTTCGTGCGTATAAGGAATTGCATAGGTATAGACCTTGCCCTCATTGCCGCAACAATCTGAACAAATAAACGTGATCTGGTGGGGAGTATTCGGTTAGTAGATACCAGTGCTGCCGTTGGAAACATTCTAGCTTCCATACATATACAAAATCATCGAAATTTGCTGTCATCGATTTTTATCGAATTAATCGAGACATGACTTAAATAATGATTTGAAACAAAGGCTGGCTGGTCTCTAATTCTTATTGTCTTTGAAATAGATGCGATCATATACAAGGACGGACAGAGAGATAGACATGGCTTAATCGATTCTGCTGTTAACGCTGTTCATATATATATCTATCAATTAATTTATAAAGGTTATAATGATAACAGTCAAAGATTCCATATGTACCCAACTGCCCATTTTCACGGGGTATATCAGTACAACATGTATGATATAGGTTTTTTTGTAGACAAATGAAACAATTAATTTGATACCATGTTTCAGCCAAATCCTATTAGCTGCAACGGTGTTTCGCAGCCACTTTCATGCATACTTAATTGTCAGGTTTGGTGCAAGTTAACACACAGACATTTTGGGAACCGTTGGCCAACTGTTGCTCCACACTCTGTAAACGAGGGCAAGTGCTCCTTGCCTGACTTTCGTTGTTAAATGTCCGTGCAGATGTTGGGCTGGGCTGCAACTTAAAAAATTAATGGTCTGTGTCATGTGTTGCTCTGAGGTGTTTTCATTGAAATTTTAAGACAAGCGCCACTTACAGTTGAGTTATGCGTTAAAATTCCAACTTCTTGATATCCATGTATGCAGACGAAAAAGTCAGGACAGCTATGTCTGCCGAACACCCAGACCCAGACCCGGAACCGGGGCCCGGACCCACCCCAGAACCCAACCTAGCCGCTGGTTCAACCCCATCCCGGGCAACAGATGCTAGACTTCGGAGTGGAAAGTTTCCAAAGCGCTATATCTGTGCATGTGTGTGTGTTGGTAAGGTAATTAGAAAATTGTATGCGATTACTACTTGCTTGTTTAACATTTTGGGCAACATCCTTCCATCCTTAAACACATACATACTCGCCATGCAGAAAAAAGGAACAACATGCAACTGCGCCAATGATGCGAAGTAAAGTACAAAAGCGGCTTTTAGAATATTAATGGAATACTAAATACATATAACGTGTAAAGTGGCAGACTCACAAACGCATTCAAAATTATACGAGGGGAGCTAAAAAACTATAGGCAAGCGAAAACAGAATATTTTATTCATGACCTGCTTGTTCCTTAACTAGTTATCATAGGCAATCTCGTCCGATAATTCATTTTTATGAAAATCAATCAAACAGTATGAATGTATGGCATATGTGTACTCTGCCAAGCTGATGCAATCAAAGCTGTCTAAGCATTAAGCCCAGTACAGAAAGTTACAGCGTTTAAAATCGAACTATACAAAATACTTTAATAGGTAAAACAATTTCAATTTATGTTTTCGTTTTTCTTATACCCTGAACCCATCAAAAATGGGTATAAGGGTATATTGTATTTGTGCAAAATCCAAATGTATGTAACAGGCAGAAGGAAGCATCTCCGACCCCATAAAGTATATATATTCTTGATCAGCATCAATAGCCGAGTCGATCTAGCCATGTCCGTCTGTCTGTCCGTCCGTCCGTCCGTCCGTCCGTATGTATGAGTCAAAGGATCTCAGAACCTATAAGAGCTAGAGACTTGAAATTTTTGATGTAGATGCTCCTAGTTCCCGCGCAGATCGAGTTTGCTTCCGATAATCGATAACTTACTCCGTTTCCAAGCAATTTTTTAGCAAATTGGGTAAATAATAAATGCTAGAGCCACCAAACATGATATGTTGCTTCTAGAATATAGATATTTCAAGTATCTTTCATTTCATATCGCCTTCGCCACCTCCCCGCTACCACCCCAGAGCTATAAATCAAGTTAATAACCCAACTTTTATTGCCAACCAATTTTAACCACAATTTAAATTCAATTGATTTTTTCAGAATACACAAATATTCTATGGTACAATAAGATATACTGTAGAAAATTTCATAAAGATCGGTTAAGAAAAACCAAAGTTATATGCAACTGCGCAATTGAATGGGGCAGCAGCTTTAAGAATTTCAGTATACATGTACACACACACATTCATGCGCGTCTGCTTCGCATTCTAATAGCATGGTAATTGCATCTTTTTTTTTGTAATGTTATTTTAGTTATTTTTTTTATTATAAGTACATAATTGTTGGTGTGGCTGCTGAGTAGAGGCATAGCAAGTGGTGCGGTCTGTCGCGAGTTCGAGCCCTACCGGGGAAAGTATTATTATTTTTTTTTTTTGCTGGTGTGACTGTTGAGTAGAGTCGACAGTAAGTAATGCGGTCAGTTGCAAATTCAAGCCCTGCCAAGGGAACTTTTTTTATTAATTTATTTGGTGTTGGAATAAGAGGGTTCAGGGTATCCCCTAGTCGGAAGCTCCCGACTAGAACCTCCTACTTGTTTTAAGTTATTTCAATAGTAATTCAAATGATGCCAAGTGCTGACAAATTTCAAGCCTTAGCTTTTTCAAATAATGCATTATATGAAAATTGTTATGCTCTATGCAGAAGTGAGATGAAGCTTATTGGCTTGCAATTTTTTCGACTTAGAGAAATTCAGAGACTTTCAACTACATATGTGGACGTATCTACCTAAGATACAATATGGATAATTTCATTCTGTGGAAAAGGAAAAAATTGGTTGCCATATCCGACGCACGTTTAAATTAAAATTTTTCGAACATCTTAAATTAAACGACTTCCAAGTAAATATATACACATGCATACTTGAATAAGACATTTTGCTGCACTATCGTCCCGCCCTACAAAATACAAATCTCCATATTTCTCAACGAGACAGTTTAAAATCCTCTGCGGTTAGAGTCTTATAGTCAGCAATAATTAGAAGAACTCTTTTCGACCAAGCTGATATTGCAGGGCACACAAAGCATTGCGCAGTCAGTTGCCCCGGTTGTATTTACGTATACACAATTTTAAAGAGCTTTTTTGAACAGGTGCCAGACTTTGACTCAGGTTGTTACATCGGTAGAAAATTAGCTCAAAAAGTAACTCAATTTGCGCTCAAAGCCGCTAAAACGAACTAGCGGGCCGAACAAGCGTCGTGCGAGTTGTGTTTGCCTTCGGCTGCTCGTCGACAACTCCCACAAATGATTTTTGAGCCTGGAGGGTCCTCGGTGCCGCTTTCGCTTAGACGCACCCACAAAGCACTTCAAATGCCATTGAATTCAATTGAAGTGGTGCTAGAAGAAGGCGTTAACCAACCAAACGCTCGGCTTGAGTCGTCGTAGTCGTTGCCTCGGTGCATGCAGCGTTTTGAGTGCTTTGCTGTAAAAACTGCGCAAAATCCTTGTCGTCGAATAAAAATATTGTTCGTTCAGCCAATTGCAGGAGCCAGTAGCAAGGTTATTATTATTTTTTTTTTTTTTGGGTTTTGGTTTTTTTTGTTTTCTAATGTATATATATATTTTATTTGTTTGTGTTATTTATTTATTTTTAAATACAAATGTATATTGCTGATATGGTTTTCATATGTATATATATATTTATTATTTATATATATGTATATAAACTTATCGTGCAAAAAAAAGACATCTACTTTACTAACAAAGAATATTACAAATATACTCGTTAATTCCCATTTAAAAGCATTTTTGTTTAAAATGTTTTATGTACTCTAATAGGCATACATACATATGCATACATATAAATAACGGCAATATTTCAACATCCTATCCATATTCATTTTTCTACATAAATAGCTCTTATAGTTCATTGGATGATATTTCATTGTCTTCGTATTGTGATTAATATTCGTTTTTTCATATTTATTGTTGGCATATAACAATTGCTACATTCGTTTTTGCAGATTTCCGATCTTTCTGTTATTTTCTATGTACATAAGCTTTTATTCTGGTTCTTTTTATATATTAAGTATCGCTGCACGAGGCATATGCACGTGTACATTCATATGAATATATCGTTCAAACGTATGGACGACCCCGCTATCTGGAATATTACTTGTGATTACTTAAGCTTAATTAATTATTATCAGGAAAATGATAGTTTTGAAAGTTACTTTCATGCGATGGAAATAAGCTGAGTAAAGCTGCAAAGTTTGGGATATGGGATATTCAGAAAATGAAATATTATTCTGGTCCTTTTTGTTAAAAAAGAGGCACCATTTTAGTTATTATTGGGCTCATGATGGGTTAGTTTTATGTGCCTATAAGTTAAACCTCACATTTGTTAATTACGATTACTCTTACATGTATTACTTATTTGTAGACTTCGTATGCTGATATATTTTTAACGCATGTACACAAAGTGCAAGTGCAAGAAGCTCTCGATTTTGTTCTCGTGTTCAGTATCCATTCATATATGCATTCATATGTGGTAGAGGGGGTCTCATTAGGTTCACCCCTATAATTGGAATCTTAGTGTTTTAGTTGAATTAATTATAGACACAGATACTACAATTAGCACAATTCAGATAATTTTGTATATTTTTAACAGAAACAATAATGCATAGGCTTTATTTTTGTTATAAGTACGTACTTTTCTTCAGTGTAATTGTGATCGCAATTAACGGCCTCTACTCCAGTTTGCACATATAATTATTTGTGTAATAAGTTAAGTATGGTTTTTGTAGTATACTTGTATATGTATATATTGTTCTAAATATATATTGTATTGTATGATCTTAACTCAAAAAATTACTATAGGCCCCTGTCAGTAAGTATTTCATACAAACCAATGCTGCGTTTTTCCTCGTTGTTAAGTAAATTATTTGCTGCCAATAATAATTTGCATATTTGTAATTTGCCTGCCCAGCTTGGAAGTTATTATACGATTGCCAAATAGGCATCTGCTTTATGCATGCATGTGATTATGTGTACATTTATATAGATACATATGTATTTAAAACTTATTTGTATGTACAATGTTTGCCAGTATGTGTGTATATGTTGTATATTATACAACTCATGTGAATACCAATTACATATGATGCACTATGCTCTATATATATTCTATAATTATGTTTGCAAATCTATATATGCTCATTGCTATATAAATTCATTTTCCTTATATACGTACACTCAAAAAAAAAATTGTTTGCTACACTTTGGAAAATTGCCATAAAATGAACAATTTTCTTAGTTTCAAAAAAATATTTGCGCAAAAATGTGTATCCAAGGGCTATTTCCCCTGTAAAAATACAATTTTGTTAATACAACAAAATGTTATGAATTTTTGAAAGTTTTTCATTTTATGACACTTTTCTTAAATTTTGGAGAAAATATGTATCCACTGACTTTTCCCATTTTTCACGAATGCATTTCCACCTAAACTAATCATCTGCAGACAGTTGAATCGTCACCGGCGCATATCGAATGGGGCGCTGCCAGGAACAGCTTCCCGTTAAAGCAGGCACACAGCTGGAAGACTCGATGCATGTGATCTCGACTCTGGGCAGAGCCAAGTATGGGTGGCTGTGCAGTGCGCAAATTTGGCATAACTATTTTCGAGGACTCCAACCGTACCTGTTTTATCGGTGTCGTTGTAGGAACAGCAGAAAATGAAGATTGATTGTCTAGCAGTAGCTAGTGTGGTCTAGATATATTTATACTTACGCTACCATCGAGTGCACGCAACTTGACGTCCTCCAAAGCTAACAGTTCAATGCCACCGGCTCGGGATTGTAAATTAATATCTTTTGCGGCAGTTATCTCTAATTGACGTGTAGGCGACTCTAGTCTGCAAATAACTCAAAAAGTTAAAATAATAAAAACAAAAGCAATGACAGTAGGCTACATACTAGGCACTTGGCATTACATGAATGTAGGATTGTTTAACCAACTGACTTTTTGCATCCTTATGTTTAAAATGTTTGCCCTGACGGCCGATTGGGGATCCTTTTTGGTCTATGGTAAACACTAGGACGGACTTTTTCAAAATTAGACCCCCAAGTTGAGGAAAACACCAACACCAATGCAACAATATAAGTATAAAATGTGTGTAATAAGTGTAATAACTTCATTAAGAATAGGTGTCTGAGCGTCTGACAAAAAGTGGCAGGTTGCCGGTTCAAATTCAGCAGCAATTGAGTATGTCCAATTGAGTACAAAGAATGTATGGTTTTTCTAGCTTTTATAATACATATGAATATGATAGATAACTAGCTATGTTTATTGCTTTGGGCAAATAACAGGAATTATCGATAATTTTAATTGACAATAGTTAGACAAGAACTAACATCCCAAGTAAGGTATATTAAGTGCGGTGCGTTCGCTCCGAGGGATCCTTTCGGCAGCTGATACTGATCCGGATGTTTTATTTTTACTAATCGCAAGCCGTCGCTGTCAAATTGTATTTTTCTTTTGGTTGACAACACCAAATGGTGATAAATTAAAATTTTGTGTGCATTTCGGGACGCCATTTATAAACAAAATTATGGCACTTTAATTCAACTATTTTGATACTATTGTTAATTGGTCAAATGCTGTCCGCACATCGTACAATTTTGTACATTTTTATGAAAAAGCATATCGGTCATCAGCAAATTTGTCAATGTAAACGTTATTGCAAGCATAGCTGTGCCGTTAATGGTCCGTACACACACAGTTCCCACCTTAAACCCATACTCGGACCGGAAAACATACGCCTGGTCATTGAATAACGCGAGTTATCACCATAATATTCCAATACTGACGCAACGATTCCCTAGCAATAAAAAAAAAAAAAAGAATCAGTCCTAGAGCGCTTTTCAATTCAGTCGTCCCAACTGATGTCGAATTCAATGGCGATCCCCACAACATCGCTCAGAGTATCTATGTGTTTGTTTGTGTGGATGTATGGATGTATGCATGCATGTGTAGTGTGTGCACGGCCGTGTGTAAATATTTTCGCTCTTCAACAAGCTACATGCCAACACCTCACGAGTGAGTGTTTGCGTTTTGTGTTGGGATTGCTGTTGTTGTTGTCGCCGCAAAGGTGATGGTGACGTTGACACACACAGGTGAGCGGTAACAGCGCGGGCAATGGGGGCGCGCTAGGTGTTTGTTTTTAATTTTTTATTTTTGTGATTTTTCCGTGCCCGATTAATGTGTTTGGTGTGTGCCGACATATATACATCTGTATGTAAGATATGTGGGATATGGATTCTACGAAATTTATTGCTGTTGTTGAATTTCGACACTGTGAACAATTTTTCTGTGGCATTCCATAAGCTTATTTATTTTTTTTTAGTCTTGATGAAATGTGTAACGCATTTAGTATTTTTATAAGGTATTTAACTCAGAGTAGGTTTGGTTGGCTATTGGCGAGATAATGCGTCAATGTGTATACCCTGAACCAATTAAAAATGGGTTAAAAGGGTATATTGTATTTGAGCAAAATGTAAACGTATGTAACAGGCAGAAGGAAGCATTTCCGACCCCATAAAGTATATATATTCTTGATCAGCATCAATAGCCGAGTCGATCTAACCATGTCCGTCTGTCTGTCTGTCCGATGTCCCGATGTAGGTCATCTTAGTGCCAGCGCAGATGGAGTTTGTTTCCGATAATCGATAACTTACTCCGTTTCCAAGCAATCGATAAAAATTTATATCGACATCCTGTTTTTTGAGCAAATAGGGTAACTATTAAGAGCTAAGGTCACCAAATTTGATATGTTTATTCTAGAATAGTATATGTATATCCAGTATCTTTCATTTTTTACCTATTGCCACCTCCCCGCTACCAATTTAAATGCAATTGACATTTTGAGGATATATATTCTATGGCACAATAAGATATACTGTAGAAAATTTCATTAAGACCGTTTTTGTTTTCTAGAAGAGAAGAAGAATTTTTGTATATATGTGTACATACACATTCATGCGCGTCTGGTTCGAATTCTATCAAGAACATTGTAATTGCGATTGTATTGTTTTCTGTGCTACTATTTTAATTGGTTTTTTTCTCACTGAGACTTGATTATTGGTGTATTGAGTAGGGGCGGTGGCATGTGGTGTGGTCTGTCGCCAGTTCGTGCCCCGCCGAGGAAACTGTGTTTTTTTTTTGTGCTCTGCCTGTTGAGTGAAGACGGCGCCAAGTAGTGCGCTTAGTTGCGAGTTCGAACTCTGCCAAGGGAACATTTTTTTATTTAATTTATCTTTATTACTACAAACGAGCGGCGCGAGCAGAATTTGGTGTTGGAATAAGAGGTTTCAGGGTATCCCCTAGCTTCCTAGCTCCCGACTAGAACCTCTTACTTGTTTTGTTTTTTTTTTTTAAGTTTTAGCTAAGCTTATAAACATTAAGATTCACTCTGATCCTAACATGTGGGCGAACTTTATTCATCATGGGACTACTTCTAAAAAAGTTTGCCTAAAAGAAACAAGATTTTTCGGCTAAGTTTTGTTTATGTTCAGAAAGCTTGCTGTCTGACGTATAGCAAGAAGCGTATTGAGTCTTAGGGACCACCTGTAGACGAAAAGTTGTTGTGTTGTTTTACATTCTTGTTAATAGAGAGCATTCGATTGATTAAATTACGCCAACTAAATTACTTTGAGCGTTGATCACCAACCAGTCAGTCAGTCGGTTGGGGAAAACAATTTTGAATAAATTGATTATCATTGTTGGTTTTATGTTTAATGAAAAAAGATTTACTAACTCAAAGTTCTATGATGTCTGGTAAAGTATAACTGATCTGAGCCCCGATTATGTATATATATTGTAGGGATTGCTCCTCTCAACACTTACCTGAGCTCCCTGCCCGGCTCAGCACGCACGTGCGGCGTTTGTATGGACTCCCGAAAGATGGCGCCACCCTCGCCCTCGATGCGCAACGTATGCGCCCCAATTGTGACTTCATTTCGATTTACGGAAAATAAATTTCGTCCAGTGGTGTCGTTGATGCGAAATCCCGCTGACAGACATTCAAACTTATCGTGCCCTAAGAATAAATGATTCTCGAGCACACCGTTTGAGTCACGTGTATTGATTGAAAAATTACGTGAGGATTCTGTTGATGGCAACCAAGATGTTGGAAAGAAAAAATTGAATACAGAAAACTTGAATAATATGTTTTTTTGGCAATATTTTAATCACTGATCACAGTAAGATTTAATCGCAGTTTAAAGAAAACATATCAGAACTGAAAAGCTGGCAGCAAATGTAATATTTTTTTTTTTAAATTGGTTTACAACAAAACATCTTCCAAAATAATATGGTTTGCTTTGTTTTTGGGTTCAGCTGTTTGGCCAGCCAATCTGGTTAAGGTTCGAATAAGGGTAAATAAAAATTGAAATTTCAGGCAAGCCGGTAAATACTATATCTAAATCAGATTTCACACGATATTCCCCTTTGCGTGTGTCTGTCTGTCATTGAATAAAATTTTTCCTGTATGACCGTGACTCTTCCTGTATTTGTTTTCTTTGGCTGAGCTACGGATCTCACACATGGAGATTATCCGTAATTGTACAATGCGTGATTCCTCCAGGACGCGATTTCGATCTCATTTGATTAGATACCACCTCCGCTTGTCCCTTTAAATTTACAGTGTTTGCATACACATAAGTGTGTGTATGTGCATATCACATATACATATACACACTGTAAAGGTGTGTATGAACGCTTTAGGTCTTCCGCTTTGGCATGCTTTTGCCAGGTGCCTATCTGTGAATCTGCTGATTTATGGCTCATGTGACAACGGCGCACATTTGTCGTAGCCAGGCTCAACTTTGGAGCAGTCACCTTTAAGTAGGGGCTTAGAGGAATACAAATCGGACTGCTTGATTCGGATTTAGAGCGTGAAAGAAAGACTAATAATTATGCAGTCCTTATAAACGCATCGAAGTCGGGGAGCAGATGTTAAGTTCGGCAAAGGGTTTTTTGTACCATACAGAGGTCAAGAATATTTAAACAAAAAAATTTGATTTAAATTTGTCAGTATGTTATGTACGTGGACAAGTAGAATAAATACTCTAAAATACTTAAAACTGTTAAAAGTACAGAAGTTACAGATATGTAATTGGAATGTTAATCCGGTAGGGGATTTTAAAGTCTCTCTATGATAACCTTATAAATATGTGGGTTTCTTTTGATTAAAAATCTTTTCTCAAAAAAAAAATAAAAATAAATAAATAAAAAATAATTTGTAAGCAATAGTCAAAAACTTTTAAGCTTAAAATTTGTAAATATTATGTTCGACATCGGAAATTCTGTAGACTCGTTTAATTTGAATATAAAGAAAACAAACAAGGAAAAAGAAAAAAGAAACTGAATATTCATATATATTTTTTTCGGTATTAAAACACCTGCCCAATCACATGAATAACTTAAGATGTATTCGTTTTAAATATTTAAGTAGTCAACCGGATTACTTACCAATGGATATTGGCTGTCCGTGCCTAGAGCGTATAGTGGATGCCCGCAGCATGTCCATAATTACCGCTTGGCCTGTGAGCTGGATGCCCCCGGGAACAATTTTAAGTTGACCCATGCCATCCTGAAAAGGTGTTATTGTATGAGCCAATATGCAGACGATTTGGAGAATGTCTGTACTTACTGTTGAAAACTCCATCACCTTGAGTATCCATAGGGTCAGTACCAGGTTTGTTATAATAAGAAGCATTAGCAGTAGGAGTAATGTATATAGGCACTTTTTACGCCAGCCGATTAGGCCAAGATATGTCTCGATTCCATCGACAAAACCACCCACATTTTCTTGCTTGTTGCCACCGACAGATAAACCTTTTCCGCCGGCCATAACACTGCGACTCCCTCCTCTGTCAACACCGGTCTTGGCCATCATTATGGTTGCCGTCTTAGCGGATGCGCCGCCACTTCCACTAGCCATTTGGCTGGCTTTACCTTTACGCATTTGTTTGGGCGTTGCTCCAGCCTGCTGTTGTCCCCTTAACGCTGGTGTAGTTGTAGTTGCTCTACAAACTCCTATTTCTGCGCTGCCACCGGCTAGCATCGCAATCAATTGATTTTCCTGGCCCGGTTGCAATGTTTTCTTTTTTTTTTGTTTTATTACTTTACCGATTCGCGTTGTTTCTGTGTGCGCTCTACGCCGTCCATATTAATTACGTAGCCGATGGATTAGCTTAAGCCAATCAAATTTTGGTTTAAATTTTATTTTTTTCTTTAAAATTGTGTGATTGCCGTGAATATACTCCAACTGTAAATAAGAACCTGAAAAGGACACAATTTTGTTAAATAAAATATTTCAATGTTAATATTAAGTAAGAAACAATGCCAAAAAATGTGAAATAGAATCGGTTAAACAATGCTCGACTGCGAAAAGGGCAGTTCTCAAGTTTATTAGAAATGTATCAAAACTGATGATTTATGTATGAAATGGGATAATAGAACTTTCTATAACAACATGATGGTTCGTTCCAGTAGTTTCTAATAGTTTTCAAAAAATATTATCTAGGTTAGATTTTAATATTATCGTTCAAATATGTGGCTATTTCAGGATCTTATATTTTTTTCAACCAGAAGTAAAACCCACTCAACAATGTGCATCTAAAACATTTTTGCATTTTTAAATATCGTAAATTTTTAACTAAGCGTTTTTTTATCAACTGACTTCTGTAGCTAGATGTAGACATGGAGATGTAATACAGAGAACACCGGTTATTATAGTTATTGTTAATAATTGTGTCGAAAATGTCTTCTGTAACAAGTGTCTGAGGAAATTTAAATGATCTCAACATTGGTATAAAATATTGATATGAGACCCTCTATAATTTAACATTCGCACACATAATGTACATTCAATTTATATGTAAGTATGCATTCCCAACTATGATGTATCCCACTGACTGACGGATGAGCTGCGATTAAATTACAGTTTTCGTTCCCATCTTTGATGCTCTGATGCTCCTGTTGTTGCCTAGTCCCTTCTGTTGATGGCTTATGTGGGGCATCAACTGCTAGGGATGGCGACTTCACACGTGCAATTGTTAAATTATGCACAACTGCATATCAAAATATGCATTTGTGCATTCATATATACGCATGAATATTTTTGTGTGAGACAGTGAGATACTTAAATAAGGACAGAGCAGGATGCAGAGATGCATGTGCATGCACATAATCTGATGCATTCACTTGCATGAGCGCTGTCAGCACCATCGGCAAGTAACAATTTTGCGCATTTATTAAGTTTTTTCATCAAAAGAAATCACAAAAATAATAATAAAAAACAAGAAGGAACGTTGCAGTCGGGAGCAACTGACTGAGACATACTCTGTAACAGTATGAATAAGGCGAAATAATAGCTAATTATGAGTTTAGTTACTCTGACTGGGTTATAGACAGTGACCTTAAAGCAATTTGAAGGAGTTCATCAGTTATCTACATGCGAAATTTAATGACTCTAGCTCGAAAACTGTGGAAGGTTTATATTGTCTACCTTTAGTCTTCAAAAATATCGCTCATACGCACAGAAGACACACCGCGGACAAAGAGAAAGAAATTGTACAATGCTGATATACTCGATTGCATTTTGTGATCAGAATATGAAAACTGTTTTAAATGAATAAAATGTGGATGCATACATTTTCGCGATACTCAAAAATATATCAATTGAGCAGCACGAAGTAAAACCTGTTTTCTTTTAAAGAGAACAGTAATTTTATTTGTTGTTTGGGTTACCAGTTCAGTTTAGTTATAATAGTCTAGAGACTTGAATAGAAAAGTTAGTTTTAAACGCCATGTCCAGTCAATTAAAAATAAACCAGAAGTGAAAATAATCTAAATTTAGAAAATTTGTATATGTAGCTCTCATGTGGCTTTTCATGGCCACTGCGAGAACAGTGTGAGCAATGAAACACACATATTTCGTTCGCCTAATAAAAATGTAGAATTAAATGTGTTGCTTTTCGTTTTTGTTTCGTTTTTGAGACTTATTTTCACATATTTCGCAAGAACATTGCGTTATTGTGTGACTTATGGTTTAATTTTGAATGTGTGCTAGCATTTTGCAACACATTTATTTAATTGATATACCTGAAGTCATTTTATAATCCTGCATTACTATCATTTTTATAAAATAGACGCTTATTTTTTCTCCATACTGTATATATGCTAGAAGCCTTTCCTGCCCATTTGCTGATTGGGATGGAAAATGATTCGACCAGTGAATTAATTCTTATTTTATTAGTATGCATTAGAAGTGTTGCAGTTGGATCCTTCTGTTTTTGTTTATTCAATGCTATTTGGCAATTAAGAAACTGTTTATAGAATTTGGAAGTGAATTAAAAATTACGCAATAAATACAACATATTGTAAACAAGTCAATTAAAAATAATGGTTTTCGCCGATTGTCTTTGAAGATTTCTGTTAATAGTTTAGAGACCGTTGTATACTATTTCTTAATATTGCATAAATCTTTATATATGTATATATAAATGTTTAAAATGTTTGGAAGTTGTTTGAATAGCCGGAAATGTTTAATTGCGGCTTAACTACTTATCTATATGTGAGCTAAAAGGAAATGGTCAAAATAATAAACAATTGAACCAAATCAATTAAATATCCAACAAAGAATCTCACAAATGAACATTTTTAGGGCTTAAGCACTGCCGATGACAGTATCTGCGGTCATTGGTGCGATGAACACTGACAACAGAAAAGAGAAATTTAAATGAATTCAAATTATTTTCTACAAATGTGTATCTATCAATCTTAAAAAATGTGTACATCATTTTTTTCTATTGCCTAAAGCGGACTTGAATTGATTAAAATTGTGTTTTGTTTTTTATTTTTATAATAGACAATTTTATTGTCCTGTTAAGGCCGTCGTCTGCTTAAATGGACGCCCCACTTGTGACCAGAATCGTGAAAATCGGAATCTGGAATAGGCGTTAGGCAACACATCCACTTATTTTTACGCTCTAAACTTATTGAAAATGGGTATAAAGGCCATAATAGTCTTAAAATAGTTTTCTGGTCGAGTTCAATCAAATAATATCATTTTATTAAATATCCGCAAAGATTTGTCGTGATATTTGCTTAGTTAGACTGACGAGAAAGTTGCTTTGGTTTGGTTTTATATTAAATAATTTATTGGTGGGGATCATATAGTAAATTACAGTGGTCGATGGCGATACTCTAGAGAATACTTTGCGAAACTAATAGGGAGTTTTATTTGCAAGTAAAGAGATAGGAACTGCATGCAACTGCGCAGACTTTGTGTATGCGCCAGATAATATTGGGCGGTACATGGGGTTTGTATATAAACGTTTTCATAATACATACATACATACCCATAATCTCAAAAAAGAACTTGGACAAGCAGTCAGACCGGCGTAATGGCGGTCGGGGAACGTGCTCTGTGAGCGGTAACTAGAGCCCGAATGCAAATACCCAGCGAGTTGATTTAGTATCTGCAGACAGCCGGTTATTACACGCACTCGAATGGCGAGCAAAAGGTTTACTGGGCGGAAATAAGGACAGCAACTATTAGTTGCAGTGGCAGTGGAGAGCGGAAGGTGGAAAATGGAAGCGACGGCTGCTAGCACGTACGTCTAGTTTTAGTTAAGTTACAGATATAGTTGCCGCTTAGTTAATGTTGCATGTTCGCATCGTTGTTGTTGTTACACGTTTTTATTGCCGCAAATGCAACATATGCTCCAAAGTATTCGGCTGCAGCAGACAGCGCTCGTAGGTGTTGTTTACTTCAGCTAGTCCCAGAATATCGCCTAACAAAGTACATTCACTTTTGTACACTACATGGCTCCCATGCCAAGGCACAGCGAGTCGGATCCGACATCCACACCATATAAAAGCCCTTGCAACGATAAATTATTTTATGAAAGTAGTTGAATAACCTTAATCACATAATATTTTCTAGATTTTTGAAAATTTAGATAAAGCTCAAAAAAAATATTTAAAAAAAATTGCTTTTCGTTTTTTAGTCAATTGAGCTGAGTGGGCCAAGATCTTATATATTTTAATAAAGATATACGTGGTTTTATTTCTCAATCTTCAATTTATTTTTTGTTCTTTGTGAAATAATGAGTTGTTTCACATGGAAAATATAGGAAAGATTTTCCAACAGTTTCAAAAAGCACGCTATAGGAGTTAGTGGTCCAACATACAATTTTTCAGGAGCATAAACTTATATTTAAATATATGTTGGTGATATATATATATGTATATATGTATATATATGTGTATATCGGGACATTCGATTAACTCTTCTTAACATATGCATGTAGGCATGTTGACTCTTTGGTGCTGTAGGGTGCTCGTATATGCGAGTATGTTTGGCAATGTGTGCAAACTTTCGGAAACGGAAACTTATATAAAGTTGTTCAAAAGTCCTTGACAATGGGTAATTCTAAGCGAAGTGGGCTTATTTCAGGCAATAACTAGACGGGAAGCATGCTTTGAAGGGCCACATAGCAGTCGGCGACCCACAAGCAGGCATACAGACACTTGGCCATTTATTGTTAAATGAAAAGCATTGCATTGTCCTGCTATTAAGTTATCAACAACAGCAAACACACATGTTCGCATGAGTTCATAGAGGTCGGACACGTATTGTGGCGGTGTTCATATTATCCATATGCACAGAGACCCTAGTTGGGCAGGCAAGTTCAGCTGCTATTTTGTGCTAGCTACATGATGTGCCTTTTAAAGGTGTTGTTGTAGTGAATAAAATTAAGTAACAGTACAAATAGTTTATTTCGACAAAGGACTTGAGCAAGTATCTGATTGTCCGAAAAATATTTTTATTCATATCACGCGTACGGACAATAAGCCCCAAATTTTTCCAACACACACTATCACAAATTTAATTTTCCCTTTTGGTTGAGCTGTACATTTTTTGCAAAAGGAACGATTATATTTTCTTTGCATATATTTACGTATTTATAGTGGATAAGTTTGAAGTTGCCTATTTCTTTCAGTGGATCAATTTTAAAAATATTGTGGTATTTTTTTATATTTATATGTTATTTAATGTAAATGACAGACGCCACAAATTGATATACAAAATAAATATCGTTGATCAGCATCAACAGCTACGTCGACAAATTTCATCTGTTTTTTTTTCCAGCTTTTTGCTGACACAGTTTTTAATGCGATCTTTGTTCATCAAGACCTTTGACACGCGTATAAATAAGAGGCAATACAAATTGACACTTAAATCACAATGATGTCATAATAAAATCCATTGCGGCAATGAAAAAAAAATTGTCACAAGCCTAATGCAAAAAATCGTTGAAGAAAAAAAATTAACCGAGACAGAGATATTAGCGCATCTTGACCACATAACAATTACTTGTAAGTGTGTTCAACCTGGAGTGACGATTCCGAGTGTACTGACGTTGCGAACGTTTGCAAAACAACTGACGGCACATTAACTTTGGCGGAACATCAACACTTCCGTGGCCGCTGCGGCTGCAGCCAGTTGAAATTGGCACTGGCTGGCACTGTCGGTCGCGAAGAGGCCGGTTCGCAAAGCTTTTGCCGAATGCTGGCAAAAAGTTTCACTCAAATTTCGGGCTATCGCTCGCCTTGGTAGGTTGGCTGCGAGCACTGAGCTTCGGCTCATCGGCTCCATTCGGCATTTCGCCCTTGCTGGTTTGTTTACATTTGGCGCATTCAACACGTGGTTCTTCCAATGCTCAAACTTTGCCTTTATTATACCCTGAACCCATTAAAAATGGGTATAAGGGTATATTGTATTTGTGCAAAATCCAAATGTATGTAACAGGCAGAAGAAAGCTTCTCCCCATAAACTATATATATTCTTGATCAGCATCAATAGCCGAGTCGATCTAGCCATGTCCGTCTGTCTGTCCGTCCGTTTGCTTGGAAACGGAGTAAGTAATCGATTATCGGAACTAGGAACTAGGAACTAGGAGCATCTACATCTAAAATTTCTCTAGCTCTTATAGGTTCTGAGATCCTTGCGTTCATACATACGGACGGACGGACAGACTCCGTCTGTCTGGCTAGATCGACTTGGCTATTGATGCTGATCAAGAATATACATATATACTTTATGGGGTCGGAGATGCTTCCTTCTGCCTGTTACATATATTTGGATTTTGCATAAATACAATATACCCCTATACCCATTTTTAATGGGTTCAGGGTATAAAAATTGACTATTTAGTACTTGTTATTTTCATATTGATAATTTTTAATTTTACAAGTTCACTCAAAGAGTGTATTGAAATATTTATAATCCGTTGAGAAGTGGAAATAAAATTAAGAATACGAAAGAGATATAAAAAACGTTTTGCCCTGACTGACTTATGTGATGAAGATGAACGCTAGGACGGGGTTTTGGAAAACTCCACCCGCAAGTGCGAAAATACGCGGAAAACTCTGTTTTCAATCTTCGTTGCTAACTTTGCGATTACCTAAAATTTGGCCAAGTATTTGCAGTTAAGTATATTAAACTTAACAAAATACGTATAATGCATCAACCTAGTCTTATGGCTCCCGTAACGCGTCAGTTCTTATGAGAATAATCATATAGTTAATTTAGAGCGCGCTCGGATGCCGTTGCTGCCGTGTTTGAAAAAAAAAATGCACAGTCGAATTAAGTATTCTCAAAACCGTTAAATTATTAATTTTTGTCATCTCCATGTGTGTAATTAGGGATGCAAGAGCTTTTAACTCTCTGGGACAAAGGAAAAAGAGGGGTTGGGCTTGGTGCGCCTTTTTGTGGGTAAGACTGTGTATCCCAGAAGCATGTTTGCAAATTAAAAGCATTTTCATCTTTGGCCAGGGTTCATAATTTTTGCGCTTTTCATTAAGACCTCTATAGCATGCGTGGGCTGCAAACACTTTGGTCCTTTTAATTGTTCCTTCCAACAGCTGCTAAAGGGCGTTGCGGACCCAAAGCGCTGTGAGGGTGAGGAGGGAGGGGAAAAGCCGGATTCGGCCCACAACTGATGCAGTGGCGTTATTTTAACATTAGGTGTACACAAAAAGTTATAAGCGCCCGCTCTGCTTCTTATCTTTGCCCATTGTTAAGAGCGTCGCCCACTTTTTGACTAGGCATTCTTTATATGTGGGCGTGGCATATCTGCCCAGAGGCTTTGCGGAACCACATATCAACCAAAAACCCTTGTAATTGGGCCGTCCTATACCGCTTTACATTTTATTCACAAAGAAGCATACAAAACCATCCACATGGCTGTTAATTGTACTCTCGGGCCAAGGAGTCAGCTTGCGGGCACAGTTGGTGTCCCCGACATTGTGGATTTTATGCATATATAATTTGTAATTTTAAAACTTGTTGTTCACTGTATTTTGTTCTTGAATGTGACAGGTCACGTTTGCTAGAAAAATAATGAGCTCAACGCTAAAGCACATCGCAATATGACAACCCTTTGAGTCGTGTTTTACTTTGTACCTCTAAATTTAGCAAGGCGGTGTAATTAAAGTGTGGAAATCTATTTCAGAAGAAAAATATACATAATTTGTGACCCTATACATCTCTATATTCAGAACTACTAACTTTTCCTTAAACTTACTGTCTTAAAGTCTTAAGTAATATTTTACATAGATGTTTAAAAATAGATACAAAGTCATCAAAAAAAAAAAACGCCTCAAAATTTGGAATTTACGGTTTTCGCTTATGATAATCCTGTAGTAAGGCTGAAAATAAATTTTCGTTCATCAAACCATTGACTCGAATTTACCATTGAAAAACGGTGGAATTTTATTAAAAATCCTTGTGAACCAGCTCTGAAACTTCGCCTATGTAACCTTTGACCTGCATTTATCATTCAAATTGGGTGAATTTTCCGAGAAGTGTGTTCAAAGACCTTCGAAAATTACTTTCAGGTCAATCGGATAAACAAAATTGTTTCACACAACCATTTTTCCTATTATTTCAGACTGGCGTGGAATTTTCTAAAACCCAGTTTAAGTGTGCATCTCCATCACATAAGGTAAGTACAATGCAAATTTCAGCTTACTATCTGTTACCGTTTGGCCTGTAGTAAGTAATCAGGCAACGGAATCGTAAATATCCATATTAAATAGTACTCATTCCATTGGATGAAATAGTGAAAACTAAAATTTAAAGCGATAAACTAGCCGGGGTAGCCCAGTTATATAGCCATGTTCGACGGTCCGTCTGTATGGAAGCTGTCATAGCTATTGACAACGAAGTTGAAAAAAGGGTTCTCATTCTGAGATAAATATTTCCCTTTGAGATTGTAACTAATTTCTGGTCTCGAAATAACCCACATAGTAGATTAAATATTTCATGTGCTTGACAGTCGGTAGTCTTCTCTGTTCATCTCGCTCCCTCGTCTTCCCCAGGCTGTCTACATAGTATTTGATCAATTTATATTTTCGGAGTAATTTATATTTAGGAAGAAATTCTGTAACCTGTAGCATTCACAAATGTAGATAAGTAAGTAAGACACAATCTCATCAAGGGCACTGCAATAGGCATATGTCTAGCTGCAGACGACAATTCAACCCCATAGTTATTAATATAATTTCATAGAATTGTGGGAATTACAGTTTCATTTTGCTAAATATACTTAATCAATTTTCCGTTTCTCTATTATTTTTTTATCTTGGGCCTAACTATTAACGTAATGAATATTGCGTGCAATGCTGATGACTTTAAATTGCTTATAGTCAGAAATATGTTTTATCAGAATAAGCAATGAACATGAGAGAGTGGGCGCTGTTTACTTTTGAAGCTCGTTAAAACCCACAAGCTTGCCTTAGTCTTTCTTGAAAAATGCAGACGAAATTTATATGGAGACCTCAGCTAAACTCTGTGCTGTCAACACCAAACACCGAACGCCAATATACTGAAACGCACGTCATAAAGTAAGTGGAGACATTGCGAGATAGACAGTTATTCCAGTTGCTGATGAGCCAGCCAGTCAGTCAGTCCATCAATTGTTTCAACGTGAGTGGGAATAGTTGTTGTTTTTTGCTGATGGCATCATCAGCCCATCGGCAGTAACAAAAACAGCAAAAGCAGGAACAGAAATAGCATCAACGTCATCGTCATCATGCACTGTGCTGGTCTTTCCTTCCTTCCTGTTACTGTTCCTGACGCTCCACTGGCGGCGAATGCCGAAGTATACCAAAAACCAACCAACTAACGATCAGCAGACGCGACGATAGCACCGGCCCTACTGGTGTGTAGAAGTGGCATGGTATCGGGTTGAAGCTCACAATCACAGGACGAAGTACGGGTACACAGAAATCCCATGAATAATTCCACTTCAATTCCACTTTGTATATTTCATTTTTGTGTTGCATACATCACGGCGGCAGCGTCAATGACAGACGACAGCAATTGGCTTTGATAACGTTTGCTCTTTTGCCTTTTTGTTGGGGTCGATTGGAATGGGCAGACTCCATTCCACAATTCACCCAATACGCGCTATTTACTTATTAATCAACAATAATTCTCGGGCCTCGGCCATTTGGCGGTTTTGCTAAGCCAGTTGCCGGCTAGTGCTTACTTATTTATTTATTTTGTTGCTTTGTGCACTTAAATAAACTTGTGTGTCAAATTTTTATCAATTATTCAGTTAAAATGCTGCACAAATCATCTCCCCACATACGACCATTTGTAAATTGAATGATGGATTTATGAGCTTATTGATTAAGTCCTTTGGTTTTTGACAGAATTAAAATAAAAGTAGCATTATCATAGCATTCGCCAACTAAATATTTGGCATACTCTATATTTATAAATATGTCTGCGTTTATGAGCATGGACAGCATGGACAGAAAAATGCATGAATGAATTGTTTAAACAAGTAGTTGGGTAAATAAGCGTCCGACATATGTGTATACCTATACCTCCACATATGCGTGTCTTCTAATTAAGGCGGAGAACTTTGTGTATCATACGAATGTCTAAATTTGGCGGCTCTTGCTTGAATTTTTGACATTCTTATACATCTCTATATATAATACTGTTTGCCCTGACTGACAGATTGGTGACCAACGCACAGCCCATACCGTTAGAGCTAGGAAGCCGAAATTTTCACTGTAGTTACCTTATGTGATGAAGGTGCACGTTAAGACGGGGTTTCGGGAAATTCCACACGAAAATGTGTAAAAATCGCGAAAAAGTGTTTGTATTAAACTTTTTGTTTATCATCCGATCGGCTTCAAGCTCATTTACAAAGATATCTGTTTAAATTCATTTAAGGGGTGTTTCACACTTTTCGAAAAATCCATTCCTTCTTGGTGGAAATGGGGGTCAAAGATTTAATGGGTGATATCTAAGGATCTAAACAAAAAATCATTTATGATGAATGTTTCACATTTTTCGCAAAATTAAAGCTTCTCGGAGGAAAGTGCGATTGAAAGATTTTTTTGATGTAGTTTTC